CATAATAATAACAAAAGTATATAAAAATTACTTTTTTTAGATAAAGAATGGTGTAACATATCAAAAATGTACCTTAACAATTAAAACAAAACAAAAATGTGCCCCAAAATCAGCCTGAAATCGTGTAACATTGCAGAAATCGGTGGATATGACCCATGCAATTTGTTGATTGATCAATTAAAATCGCGAATTTGATAACGTAGAATAAATATGGGTTTGATTCATTTTGTCAACCATCACTTCACCAACAATTGTTTCATTAACGAATTTAAGAAGTTGAAAGCAGCCATGCGACAAACCATTGAAATAGTCTAATAAATTAAATTGTACTACTCTAAAATGTATTTAAAGGGTTGGTTTTTGACTTGGTCGAAGAATAACTCTCTTCCTAATCAAAATAACCCTAATATAATGAATGCCAATGAATGATTGTAAACACAACAAATTTAAGATATATGATTGTGATGAAAAATAAACAATGTATGAAAAATCAAACAAATTTATTTAATAAAAACAAAATTTACAATCCAAAAATTTTTTCATCTGTTGCTGATTCAACATTACCCGGATCCATCATCAACTGTATTTTCGTTATTTTCGGTATATTAATTTTCATTTAATATTTTTCATCATACTTTCTTTTAGTGTGTTGACTAGTGTTCCATGTCACAATCCAAAAAGGAAACAAAATGGTTGTAAAGGTGGTTGCAATCATTTTTATAGGACGCAAAGATGATAGCAACCATCATCAAAAGTTGCAGCCGGTATCCTTAGTGTTGACATTTTTTTTGATTTCGACTTGAAGATAGTCCAAGATATCAAACATTTAGATTGACACCTTTGTAGACAATGATTGTAATAACATGGGTACACTACAATTATTCAAATTAGTATAGTAGTGTAATCACATTATATGTAATTGCAAAAATGTTTGTAGATGGTAACAAAGTTTTAGTAATTAAAGGATACTGATTGTCTCTGGACATGAATCTATGATAATCGTCAACATTCAACAAGAATGTATTTTTTGAATATTTTGTAAGTGCATTCTCTACACATTTCTCACGTTCATCTGCAACTTGCTTCTTTTACAATCTACTGCTCTTGATGTTGTAGTTACTCCAAGACTTGTATCTACTGAGTCTAAATAGAATGCAAGGTCGAACTTAAAAAAGTTAATTTTTGTATTATTTAAAACAAGAAGATAACACATGAACACTAAAATGGCCAAGCTGCTAAATAGGGTTGGTCAAAAAACTCCTTCAAGCTTGGTTCTATTTCTTATAGCAATCAATCTTTTCACTTACCTCTTCCTCTTCCCCTTCCCCTTCTGCATCTGTGGTTTTTATCTCCTAGGTTCTCTTTTTAAAAGATTTTCTACAAAATTCATATAACAAATGTTACATAAAACAACACGT